ATGTTGGAGAGTACTTAATTGACGTAGTTTGCCTCAATATGATTACAATGATGTATTACGACTGACCTTTGTCGTCCTCGAGACGTGTACACTTTAGGTTAACCCTATTCAGACTGGAGGGGGGGGGCTTTTGACCCCCCCCCCTCCTCGCGTAAAAAGCCAATAACTTTCGAACCAAGACATCTAATGCTCTGAAACTTTGTTGGAAAGTACTTAATTGACGTAATTTACCTCAATATGAATTACAATGATCTATTACGACTGACCTTTGTACGCTTTAGGGTAAATTGATCACTAAGGTCTAGGCAAGCGGTTGTTCCTCTTGACCATCGCCCAAGCTGTCATACGAATTTTCTTCAGCGTGAGGTTTAAACTCAAAACTGTGAGTTGTATATAATGAGTATATAGTCATAGTTCTTACTTAAATTAAAAGCTGAGTACAGTGTCAGAGTTTCCAAATATCAGTTTTATGTAGTTTAGACTATATATATATGAACGATTTTCAGCTAATTTGTGTTTCACTTCATCAGAAGTGGTTACTTATCGTTTTACAGAGTTTGACATGAATCAGTTCCAATTAAACACAGTTGCTAGTTTGTTTTTGATGCTTGTTCGAATGTAAGATAGACGCAGTGAGACGAGGATTGGGTTGATAAGAGATTGGAGATGAAGGAATGTTGCACAGATAGGTGCTGAGATGTATTTAAAATCATCAGTGACATCCGAACCCTCGATGGCTTGTATCACTGTGACTACAACTACAGGAACGTAAAAGAGAATCGACGCGATCACTAATATGCTCGTCATGAACACTCGCCTGTATTCTTTGAGTCGTTCTTGTTGTCGTTGTTGCTCGTCGGGCTGTAGAACGGATTCTTGCTGTAGGGCGATGGCTCTACGCTGGCGGTAAGCTGTCACTTGTACTTTKATTGAGCAGTACAAAATGACTAGAGTGCTGAAACCAATAAAAACCAAGTGGGGAACTTTGAACATACCTTGGTTGCTATTTATCGAAAAAATGAAAACAATGACCATCGGAGTAATGCTTCCTGCCCAGTAAATCATCGTTCCTAACATAACCCTTCTTGCTGTCACCATCTTAAGGTAAAAATTCGGATGTTCAATAGCAAGGTATCTTTCAAAACTCACTAAAGTTAAAGTAAAATGAGTTAAGCCGCAAAGAATTAAGGATGATAAAATATAAACGGTGGAAGTGCAAGGCGAATGTATATTGCCTACAAGACATCTCAGGTAAAAGCAAAAGATTGGTGCGACAAGCAAACCCACTAGAAAGTCTGTCACAGCTAAAGCCGCAAGCAAAATGTTAAAACAAGATGACCGGAGATCTTCATTACCAAGGACAGCCCAAATAATCAGTGCATTTATGACGACTGTTGGAGGAGACGCTACACCATTGACAACAGAAAGAAAGTTCCAAGTTGGATCGACTGAATCTGGACGGTCTGTCATGTTGTTGACATCGATTAGTCGAAGCAAATAGCAGGACTGCTACTTTCAGCCGCAAAACTCGAAATTGAAGAGTTAGTTTCCATGACAAGAGCTGTAACTGACTACCGTTGGAAAGTTCTTTTAAGAAAAATCCGTCAGTAGCTTGCGCTTGC